AGGTATGTGCCACCACACCTGGCTAATTTTGCATTTTTAGTAGAGACAGTGTTTCTCCATGTTGGTCAGGTTGGTCTCGAGCTCCCGACCTCAGGTGATCCACCCACCTCGGCCTCCCCAAGTGCTGGGATTACAGGGGTGAGCCACCACACCCGGCCCTTGAAGCAGTTTTGAAGGCAATAAACAGCAGTTGTGGGAGTTGGAGAGAGCAGGGAAGGTGCTGTTCGGTAATGGTGGTGGACATACCTTGTGAGGGACATACAGGAGATATTCCTTGGGTTTTTCCTGTGTCAGAAATAATGCTGAAGGTGCTTTCTGAGAGTAGGATGGGAAGCTGAAGTTCAGAAATCAAGCCAGTGGGGATTCAAGCCATAGTAATTTGGGTGTTAAAGTTAAGGTGAACTTCTAGTTTAGAGACAGAATGATGAAGTCATTTCTTCTCTTGGTAATCACTCAACAGCAACAGAGAATGAGAAACAGAAGTGCAAACTCCAGCTTCAACAAAACTAGGAGACATCTGAAACTCTTAAATCTAAAATAGGTGAGAGTTGAAAAGGCAGTGAATATCAAGTGAGAATACAGGAGGATGACTGCTTCTGCAGTGTCTGAGTAAGCTAACTAGAGTGTCTTCCTTAAGTGATCTGTAGGAGCAGTCTGTCAGAGTGTCAAGGACAAAAAGAGACCTGACATTCTGACAGCCCTATAATGCCTGATCTTCATTGTCAGAGTTACAGTGGTCCCCACAACCCTGAATCATGAAAGAAATTTCTGCTAGCCTGACCACTGTCCAACAGGAAAATCCTGCAAATACGTGGGAAGAATCTCATTTAAAGATGAGTCATCAGTTTTTCCCGCCTAGGTATATAGCAATTTCCTACTAAAAATGAGTTTGTTTGTTTTTTTTTTTTTTTTAAAAAAAAAAAAAAAAAACTTTTTTTTTTTTTTTTTAGGAGATAAGGTCTCACTCTGTTTCCCAGACTGGAGTACAGTGGTGCATTCATAGCTCATTGCAGCCTCAAACTCCTGGGCTCAAGTGATCGTCCCGTCTCAGCTTCCTGAATAGCTGGAACTACAGGCATGCACCACCACACCCAGCCAAGAGTTCATTCATGACTCCTCTCCTACATGCTACATCAAATCTTTAAGCAAATACTGTTGACTCTATCTTCAAAATATATCCAGAATCTATTTCTCACTACTTCCATTACCATCCTAGTCCAAGCCCTTGGGCTCACCTAGAATATTGTCATAATCTCATCTTCACAGTTGGCTTCCCAAGGTTGTTTTTTTTTTTTTTTTTGAGACGGAGTTTCACTCATGTTACCCAGGCTGGAGTGCAATGGCGCGATCTCGGCTCACCGCAACCTCTGCCTCCCGGGTTCAGGCAATTCTCCTGCCTCAACCTCCTGAGTAGCTGGGATTACAGGCACACGCCACCATGCCAAGCTAATGTTTTGTATTTTTAGTAGAGACGGGGTTTCACCATGTTGACCAGGATGGTCTCGATCTCTTGACCTCGTGATCCACCCGCCTCGGCCTCCTAAAGTGCTGGGATTACAGGCTTGAGCCACCGCGCCCGGCTTTTTTTTTTTTTTTAATTTAATTAGTGTGACATGATCTAATATTGCAGCTTAAGCTGCAGCTTAAGCAATATTAGATCATGTCACACTAATAAAAAGAATCTGCAAGTTCTTCTAATTCTCCTTAGAATAAAACTAAAAGTTCATATTGGAGCTTTAATGACCTTAATTCCTGCTGTCTCTTTGAACTCATAACCCTCTGTTGGCCCTAGCTTATTATTTTCATTACATCTCTTAAACTTGTTTTAATATTTAGCACCATCTGCCATATATATGTCATATATTTTATACATATATGTGTACGTGTATATATATGTGTGTGTATGTTTGTGTGTGTGTGTGACTGTGTGTGTATAGAGACAGAGACAGAGACAGTGACAGTGTTTGTTGTGTCTCCTCTCCACTAGAGTCTAAGCTTCATTAAAGCAGGGTCTGATTTTGTTTGCTGTTGTACTCCCTGCCTAAGACTGCCTGGCACATAGCAGGTGTTCAATAAATAATTGCAGTTAATCAGACAATTAAAAAAATAAAAGCGGAGAGAGATCCAAGCCGGCTGATTACTAGCAGCTCAGGATTGCAGCTCCCAGTGAAAGCGCAGAGAACAAGAGGACGCCACACTTTCAGATGAATTTTTGTTGCTCACGGACCAGGAGATTCCCAGCAGAGGAGCCCCACGGGTCCCCAGCGCGGCTCTTGTGGCCGGCACAGCGGTTTTGCCAGTACCCTGGCGCAGCAGTTCTTGGTGCAGAGTAAACGGGTCCCCTTTTGGTTGAGGTTTGGAGCTCCGGGAAGGCAGAGTCGCCTATTCAGCTGATTGAAAAAGGGACTCAAGAAGGAAGCCAGACCGGAAATTCCCAGGCAGAAAAGCACCACAAATCTTAGTGCTGCTGTTTTGGCCGGCGCAGTGGGTTGCTCCGATTCCGGCGCTGGGAATCAACAAGTTGGACGTCCACTCAGAGACCTAATTTGAAAGTCGGTAATTACAAAGACGACAGGTGGATAAATTTACAATGATGGGAAGAAACCAGCATAAAAGGCTGAGAATACCCAAAATCAGAATGCCTCTCCCTCTACAGGGGATGACAGTTCCTCATCAACAAGGGAACAAGGCCTGATGGAGAACGAGTGTGTTCCATGAACAGATTTAGGCTTCAGAAGGTGGATAATAAGAAACTTCTGTGAGCTAAAAGAACATGTTCTAGCCCAATGTAAAGAAACCAAGAACGTTGAAAAAAGGTTTGACGAAATCCTAACGAGACTAGACGACCTAGAGAGGAATATAAGTGAATTAATGGAACTGAAGAAAACGAGAACGCTGAGAGAAAAACAAAAAACCCCCACAAAGATACAAAAAAATGACAAAGAATGAAATGTGAGGTGGCAGAACTCAGGAAATTAAAAAATAATCGTAAAATGGGAATGGTGGGGTATATAGTATTTGAATCATGTTAAGGGGAATAAGGAACAGGAATTATAAAGAAAAATAACATAAGAGACAAGAAATACACATGCACATAATTGGCGTTCCTAAAGTAGAAAACTTCCATTTTATATTTTTATAGATGAAAGCACTGAGAAACTTTGCTCACATGAAAAAAGTCAATAATAGGTTTTAGAAATGTCACTCTTCTGAACTCTTAGGCCAAAAATCCTAGTAATCTTTCATCAAAATTTATTTTTAATAATTAGCTGACAATTCGCTTGTGTCCTAGTTTCATTGAGGGCATCTGGCAGATGACAGAAACCAACTGACTTGCAAAGGGAGTCATTCAGGCCTCAAGATCAACAAGAATGTTTCAAATTGTCCCTTTGGAGCCATGAAATGTTTTACTCCCTGGGACAATTAAACACAGTAGGTCTGGCATGGCTGAGAGGTATTGCCTTTCCTCTAGTGGGAGAAAGGTTGTGAAATGAGAGGTAGTTGTTTTAAGGCAGGTCAATTTAGGAACAAATACCTATGGATGTACAGGATTGGGAAATTCTCTAATTAACCCCTTCATGTACTCAGAAGCATGTATATCCTACTAGTTAACAATGCTAAGTACTGTTAACAGGTCAAGGGAAGAATTTAAAAATTCTGTTTTAGGAAAATGTCATCAATTGATTTGATGAAAGTTTTCAGCGCTCTTGTGTCAAGGGTGGGTAGAAGCCACATTGGAGTAGATTGAGGAGTTTGGGTATGGAAGTAAGAAATAGAAGCAGTAATAAAAAAACTTACTAAAATTAGACATGGAAGATGAGAGAATTACAGCCAATGTAGGTGGTACCTAGGGGCAACTGCTTTTTTTTTTTTTTTTTAATATGTGAAATACTTGAACAAATGCCAACAGAAAACAGTCAACAGATTAAGGGAGAGGCTGAAAACTTGGGAGATAATAAGCACCGTTTACAAGATTTAACAGTAGGTTGGGTGCAGTGGTTCACACCTGTAATCCCAATACTTTGGGAGGCTGAGGCAGGAGGATCACTTGAGGCCAGGAGTTCAAGACCAGCCTGGGCAACATAGCCAGACCTTGTCTCTACAAATTAAAATATTAGCCAGGCATGGTGGCACACACCTGTGGTCTCAGGAGGCTGAGGTGGGAGGATTGCTTGAGCCTTGAGGTTAAAGCCATGACCACAGTCATGCCACTGCACTCCAGCTTGGGTGACAGAGCAGGACTCTGTCTCAGGGCAGGAGGGCGAGGAGGAACCAGTGGCCAGCACTTATTGATCACTTATCTATCCACTAAGCTTTTTGCTCATTTTACCTAAGTCTCACAATAACTATGGAAGGCGGTTACTGTTACTATCCTCATTTTACTGACCCAGAAAGGGTCAGTAAATGCTCAAGAGAGCATAAGAGAGATCAACTTATGCTCAAGGTCACTCAGTTTAGCCCTGTGGTAGAGATGGAATGTCACAACCTAGAGCACAGAACATTTGTTTATGGCTGTGGATTCAGTAAGTGACGTTCAGGGAACTTGTGTCTGAAGGTCTCTATTTCCATGTAAGATCAAAAGCAAGGACATACTGAGAGTGAAGGAAAAGAGGGTACCAAGTTTCAGAGTAGAAGTTTTACATAGTAAGAATGGAGAGCTGACTAGAGAAAATAGGGTTATGCGCAGTGTTGAGGTAAGTTAAAATCAATTTTTACTAATATTGATATATACATTTGGGAGTCTTTCTCCAATCACTGGTGAAGGTAGGAGCACTTGGATACATCTAGGGATGTAAATTTTCCAGGAAGTCATGACATTTAGCGAGAGTCATTTGGGTTAACAATCATGATACTGAACTGAGAGTCAGTAAGCCTAGATAGGACTTAAAAAGGAGGTGGAAACAGTCTATGACCTAACACAGAACAGGTATAAAGGAAGAATTGGTTAGAAGTGAGTTTTTTTATTTAGTGATTTTAGAGGTTGTTTTTGGATATTGCAAGTATACAGGATGTGGTTGTGGTGGAGAAAAGTAATGGAATCAAAGGCCTGTGTATAAGTAGTCACTGAAGCGAACCAGGTAGCTGAAATTTATTTCCCCCCAATTTACTCAAAGAATGTGACCTTTCTGCCCTCAAACTATGGTTCAGGCATTCCAGACACTTTTTTTCTGTACCTTCAATTCCCCTAGATTTAAAAAATTATTCTGGAGGACTTTTGCCTATTAATACAAACAGCATTGCAATCTGTATCTGAAAACATTCTTTTCAATAGACGACTGTTAGGTTATGGGTACAAGTAAACACTTGGGTATCAGCAAACATTTAAACTAAGTGTATTTCAGGTATTAAATTATGAATAATATGGAAAAGTTGCCAATAAACTTTCCACTGAATGGTGTTTCACAGCACAAAAATAAGCTGTATTTTCCTGATACTTTGTTTTCTTATTTTTTATTTTTATTTTTCTGATACTTTCTAGTATGGACACCAAGATAAGTTGACATCAGTTGCCTTCTAATTTCTTTCATACTTAAAAGATAGCATGATGTTTAATGGGTGTCAGGAAACCAGGCCATATGGATGAATAGACGTAAATTCAACCCTGAATTTTGTTAACACCCAATACATGAATTAACTGAAATCTGGATTTCTCTATACGGAGATGAAAATACTCTTAAAAATTGTAATACTCAGGCCGAGCGTGGTGGCTCACACCTGTAATCCAAGCACTTTGGAGGCCAAGGCGGGCGGATCACCAGAGGTCGGGAGTTCAAGACCAGCCTGACCAGCGTGGTGAAACCCCGTCTTGGAAAAAAAACTGTAATACTCATCTCTATCCCATTCTTAAATAAAAAGCAATCTTCACTTTCGACTTAGTTATAATAAGCAATCCTAGACATTTGGAAATTAGTGGGTGTTGAATAAAGCCAAACTTTTTCAAACCAAGTATTTGTTAAATGTCATACATATTGTCTACCATCAAGTGATTGAATATTTTACTATAAAGGGTAGCACCTATTTTTCAAAGATGTGAGAAATTTAAAATTGCAAGATGGAGTCTATCGTCAACCAGAAATCACCTGTTCTAGTTGTTAAATTTCTTTTTAACACATTCTAAATTTCAGAGTGACAAAATAATAATTTTGAAAAACTCCAACACTCCAAATACATTCTTTAAGTATCTAGATGGATGATAGTTCAGCTCACAAACAGGTTTGACTAAAGCCTTTTAACTTGTTCATTATAAACATTAAGAATTTGGACCCAATTATCCAAAGATCCATTTACTAGTTCATAATGCAATCTGTGTTAATCAGCTGTACAAATCAACCACGTAATAGCAGTCAGATGATTCTATTCTCACATCAACAGAAATAGTAATAAAATTAGAAAGTAATAGTTTTTAGTAATTAATAAAATAGCACTGGAATAAAATGAAGAGAATTTCTTGTTTCAGCTTCTTATCAGTAAGCCTGTTCCTCATTTGTAGATGAGGATAAAGTTATCACAGTCAAATATGGGAAACTGCTCTTTATTTAGACCTTCGGGACAAACTTAACTTTGTGGTCACATATTACTTAAAAAAAAATCCAATTTTACATATTTCTAAATAGATAGGACTAAATGATCAGGGAAATAATTTCTTCTGTAAAAATTGGCCAAATTTTATCAAAAATCTAACACAATGTAATTCAAATTATATAAAGACTAGTTGGGATCATAATATTCCAAATGTATGACAGTTGTGACTCCATCCTAACAGGTGTGAAAAGTACTTGCTCTCATGTTGCTTTGGTCCAGAAGAGTAGAGCTGACTTAGTAACAGGAAACTAAGTACCTAATCTTTTGCCAAAATTAATTTAGATTGTGACTGGCAGCAGAAATATCCATGATAAATAGCTCTACTATAACAAAGATAAAAGAATACTTTTCATGAACATATCGCAGTATCAAATACATTTTTTATAAGAGGAAAATATGAAGGAAATGATGAAATAGCTACCACAAAAATAAAGAAGGGTCTCCCCCATAAGGTGATGAAATTAGAGGGTTGATGATGATAATATCAAAGGAAGTTGAGTACTGTATTTATTTCTTATTTTATACAACTCTTACTCTTTACAAAAATGGTTATAGTCATGCCCATAAAAGTGTAACCCATGGCATTTGAAAGCAAACACTCTTTGTAATTATTTAAAAGGGCCTTTTAAAAATTATAATACAAAGGTCTGTGCTCTATAAGCAGTCCTCCACTGTGCATTATAACAATAAGGCTTACTTTTAATACAAAGACTAAGTGTTTGGGAGTTATGAACCACTGGATTTAACAAACATCATTTTATAATTGCTTTTTGCATCTTTTTTGTTTTTGGGATCCTCCACTTCATCAGGGTGCTCAGCAGCTTGGAGTTCTTCAGCAGATTCTTCTTTCTCTGACTCTGAATCGCTTTCAGAGTCATCTGGACTTTCAGGATCAGGTGAATCATCATCGTCGTCATCATCATCTCCAGCCACATCACCTTCTCCATCATGATCTTCTACCTAAAACATCAATCAACAGGCTCTTTTAAAAAATAAACATTAGCCAACACAAAATCAGAGAAAACCCTATGTTCTGTCAGTCTTAGAAGCACTGTGCTTTGTAGCCATTAGAACAACAGCTTTAAGACTTGAGTAGAATTTTAAGAAAGGGCTCTGGCCAGGCCCAATGGCTCACACCTGTGGCTGTGATTCCAGCTACTCAAGAGGCTGAAGAGGGAGGGTGGGGGGCAGGAGGAGGGGACTACTTGAGGCTAAAAGTTTGAGATCAACCTGGACAACATAGACCCTATCTCTTAGAAAGAAAGAAAGGAAGAAAGAAAGAAAGAAAGAAGAAAAAAAATTAGCCAGGCATGGTGGTGCATGCCTGTAGTTCTAGCTACTCAGGAGGTTCAGGTGGGAGGACTGCTAGAGCCCAGGAGTTCAAGGCTGTAGTGAGCTATAATCACGCCACTGCATTCTAGCCTGTGTGACAGAGCAAGACTCCATTTCTTTTCTTTTTTTTTTTTTTTGAGACCAAGTCTCGCCCTGTCACCCAGGCTGGAGTACAACGGTGCGATCTTGGCTCACTGCAGCCTCCACCTCCCAGGTTCAAACTATTCTCGTGCCTCAGCCTTCTGAGTAGCTGGGATTACAGGCGCCCACCACCACGCTCAGCTATTTTTTTGTATTTTTAGTAGAGATGGGGTTTCACCATGTTGGCTAGGCTGGTCTCAAACTCCTGATCTCATAATCCACCCACCTTGACCTCCTAAAGTGCTGGGATTACAGGTGTGAGCCATCATGCCCAGGAAAGACTCCATTTCTTAAAAAAGAAAACAAGAGGGAGGTGCTCTGAAGACCACACACCTGTCTCCCCTCCCCTAGTCTGAAAACCACTGTATTATGTTTTCCTGAAAGAAACAATTTTTTAAATTAATAAGGCATGCTAACCACTGACATTTATGTGGAAATCAGTTATCAATGTTTTGCACATTATATTACTTTGGAGTAAATAATAGTCACACATAAATTTATAATATAAAAAGAGATCACTTAGGAAACAAGTGAAAAAAAGCTCTCCTAAACCATTAAACTTACATAAAATATTTTACCTAACTTGTGAGCATGTTGTTCATGCGTATTAAAAATGTGCCCTGGCCTGGAGTGGTGGCTCATGTCTGTAGTTTCAGCCCTTTGGGAGGTGGAGGCAGATGTGTCATTTGAACCCAGGAGTTCAAGACCAGCCTGAGCAACATAGCAAAACTCTGTATCTACAAAAAATACAAAAATTAGCTAGGCGTGGTGATGCAGGCCTATAGTCCCAGGTCCTCAGGAGGCTGAGGTGGCAGTGAGACTGTGCCACTGTAACCAGCCTGGGCAACAGAGTGAGAACCTGTCACAAAAAAGGGGGGAAAAAGGTGCTGTAATGATTAAGTAGAATTTACACGATTAGAAAATACACCTTAAAGTCCTTAGCAACAGGCTGGGTGAGGTCTGGTGTGGTGGCTCATGGCTATAATTCTAGCACTTTGGGAGGCCAAGATGGGCGGATTGCCTGGGCTCAGGAGTTGAGGCCAACCTGGGCAACCTGATGAAACCCCATCTCTACTAAAATACAAAAAATTAGCTGACGTGGTGGTGTGTGCCTGTAGTCCCAGCTACTCAGGAGGCTGAGGCAAGAGAATTGCTTGAACCTGGGAGGTAGAGGTTGCAGTGAGCCGAGATCATGTCACTGTACTCCAGGCTGAGCAACAGAGTGAGACTTTGTCTCCAAAAAAAAAAAGGCCGGGCGCGGTGGCTCAAGCCTGTAATCCCAGCACTTTGGGAGGCCGAGGCGGGTGGATCACGAGGTCAAGAGAACGAGACCATCCTGGTCAACATGGTGAAACCCCG